GTAGACCTCCAAAATATCGCTTTTGCAGTTGGAAATATGAAAATACTGTTGCTTAAGGTGGCTCCACATATCGTCATCAGCGTCCATTTTCGTGACGTACTTCCGGAAAAAGTACAGCTCGGAATCAATTATTTTGATCGAAATGTGCATGTACACCGTGTCGTCATTTCCGTATTGCGTACCGGGCATTCAATATCATAGTGCAAATTATAGTAACACCTGGGCCGTTTTCGTTTAAACGGTCAAACCGACCGGACCACTGTTGTTCGTTTATTAAATAAGGTGGAACCTAGTAATCTGATGCTGCTTTCAGGCGAGCCTTGAGAAAGCCTTGCAAGGCCTGCATACACATTTGCAGGTCCGCCAGGATTTATACTCGAAATTGTTACATTTAAAACGGTCAAACCGTTTGCTCCGCATAAACGAACAGGCCCCTGGTAAACAATAGTACACGCGCGTGCCGATGATATGTCAACACCCGATATCGAGATTTTACCGGGAAATGTATAATCACACGTACTTTAGGAATAAAGCTTTCCAATTCATAGACATAAACAGACTCACGGGAAGACAGTGACATGAGACCAAACGACCTCAAGAAGGTCATATAGGAAACGCATGGAATGCGGACGTACCGACCTCACATGTGCATATCGCGTGCTTACACGAGTTCATAAGCTGTTATAATCGTGTTTACAAATGTAGTCTTCTTACTCTGTGAAAATAATGTTTTGTAAAATATCAAGATACCTATGAAATGCATGTGTGAGTGCACGTGAGAACGGCATACCATGCGATAGCCTCTGGTCACATATGTACCTGACATGTAATTATAAATATACCGTGAGTTAGCGGACTGTGGAATGATGTCCAAAGTGTACATGACTGAGGGTAATTTGGTTCCATTAAAGAACAATAAATTGATAATTTTGATATCATATTTTTGATTTATTTCCATCATTTTTGTTATATGTAAACAGAGTCAACTGTCATTGTGTAAATGTCACCCCTCTGCAAAAAGTTCCGATTTTTTTCAAGGAAGATAACTCTCACCCGGATCGAAGTGATTGTAAAATGTAAAATAAATTAATTATAAAGCCATTGTGTATATTTTGTTCAATTTCCCATTCTATATGTATAGATCGTTGTGTCCTGTTTGCTTTTAGCTTGTAGATAATCACTTTTATCCGTAAAATTCAATAAAAAACACTTTGTGTAACATGTGTTACCTATTTTGCGATAAATATAATAGTTATAGGGTTAATTAGAAATGCTTCTTTTCATTTTATTATTGTTGTTATTGTTCCGAACAATGCCACACACACAAAAAAACGGAAAATAATAAAATTGACGAAAATTCATTTTTTTTGTATTTTTTCCAAAAAAGTCCCCAAACTATCGGAATGTTTAGATTTTCATAAAATCAACTCTACGTAGTTGCATAACCATTGTATGAAAGTTTCAACGAATTTTGCTGGTTAATTGCGAAAGTGTGGAGCCACCTTAAACGTGTTGGTGTTTGTCTTGTTCCATGTTGTATTTGTCACTTTAAAAGTTCAATACGTTTTAAATGACTAAAACAGAAATCTGTGAAGCATTTTTAGACTTAAGTACAGTGATAATTTGTAGTATTACTTGTGTACCTTAGCCAGGTGTGACATCAAAGGCGCCGACCGATTGCAGGTATAAGCATTTTTCAAGTGTATGTCGCCCTACAACACATGTACCTGAAGGGTTTGGGGACCAATCCTACAAGAAATGTCTACATATAATCACTTTATCTGAATTGTAGACAGGCCAAGTACGTTTTTTTCTTGACTGTAGATATGATAATTACACAATCAAGTCAATTTTTCATTTGCCAAGGTACTGTGTCAGACAGGTGATGTATAAACATTACCTTTCAATCAATATTGTACGGTCTGCCGCATTTCGGAAGTAGTTTTTTTTTTTACTTTATCGTGCACAAGGCATATTCTAATTTACGGAAACTTTCAGGATAAATGTTACTATACACATTATACGTGTACGTGTGATTTGTGTAAGCGTTAGTAATGTATCCTAACTTACACATGATACCTGTGATGTGTGGTAGGCTTAATGATGCATCCTAACTTACACATTATACCTGTGATTTTTGTTAGTGTCAATGATGCATCCTAACTTACCTTTTATACCTGTGATTTGTGGTAGGATCAATGATGTATCCTAACTTACGCATTATACCTGTGATGTGTGGTAGAATTAATGATGTCTCCTCACTTACACATTATCCCTGTGATGTGTGGTAGGCTTAATGATGTATCCTAATTACTTACACATTATGCCTGTGATTTGTGGTTGAGTCAATGAGGTATCCTAACTTACACATTATACCTGTGTTTTGTGGTAGGGTTAATGATATAATTATACTACCTTCACTTTATACCTGTGGTTTGTGTTAGGGTTAAGGCTATATGCTACCTTACACATTATACCTGTGACTTGTGTTAGGACTAATGGTATATGCTACCTTACACATTATACCTGTGACGTGTGGTAGGGTTAATGATGTATCCTAAATTACACATTATACCTGTGATGGGTGGTAGGGTTAATGATGTATCCTAATTTACACATTATACCTGTGATGGGTGGTAGGGTTAATGATGTATCCTAAATTACACATTATACCTGTGATGGGTGGTAGGGTTAATGATGTATCCTAATTTACACATTATACCTGTGATGTGGGGTAGGCTTAATGATGCATCCTAACTTCCACATTATTCCTGTGATTTGTGGTAGGGTCAATGATGTATCCTAACTTACACATTATACCTGTGATTTGTGGTAGGGTTAATGATATAATTATGCTACCTTCACTTTATACCTGTGGTTTGTGTTAGGGTTAAGGCTATATGCTACCTTACACATTATACCTGTGACTTGTGTTAGGACGAATGGTATTTGCTACCTTACACATTATACCTGTGGCTTTTGTAAAGGTTAAGAATATATGCTACCTCACATATTAAACGTGTTATTTTCTCAAAGTTATCTACATTATCTTCAATTCTGATAAATAAGAATTATAAAAGAGTTAATGAAAAATATCGATATTCTTCCATACTCTTGAAATAAGTATGTCATTCAACGGAAAACCTTTAACTATCCTGTACATTTCTACAATTGTTTTGTAAAGACAGCATAGCAGTGTTTACTCACCGGCTTACGGGCCTTATAGTTGTACAGTCGAATTCATCATATTCTAATCTATCCAACTATAGAAATGGGTACTTGTATATGCTGGGAAATAATTCTGCGAAAGACTCACATCCTAAAGGATCATATAAAACACTTACTGTCGTAATTGTTCTTTTATAATTTATCCTTGAATGTAATACCTTTCCTTTTTCAGGGGCGTAGCGTCCATAGAAAAAAAAACCGGGCTTACACATAAAAAATCTGTGTATACCAAATGTCTAAACAATGACAACTTAACAATAACAAAAGATGACATCATATTATCAAGATAATAACATAATTGTATTTAATCATTAACTAAATACGTATAATACTATAACATCATTCCCGGAATCCATGTTTTATTACTTCAAATTCAGTTTTTCCGGTGTTATGATGTGGTCCGGTAAATTACAAACATCAATTTACGAAATGAAGAAAGCAGCTAATACTTTCAACGTCAAAATAGTAAAAAAAAAATGCTGTCACAAATGGTCTCTCTTGAACTTTTAGCCAAAATGCATTCTCTGGGATAGAATATCAAGTCTATCTTTTCCTAAATAACTATCACCACCTATTTTCATATTGAAAGTTTGGTTGTACAAATTCTATGTCATATTAAAAAAACCAAAGCCAGCTACGCCCCTGTTTTTCTTTTTGTTTTTAAAACATTTTTTCGCTGGACTAAGTTTCTTTAAAACATTACTGAGCTAAGCTGTAACGGAGACATCGTGTTAATGTACATTTAACTTGTGTCATGTCTTATTACTAATGCGCGTGTACTAACGAGAGGTCAAAGGTCTCACATGTGTTCAGACTCGAGGTCAGAGGTTAAACTTCAGAGTAGCGCGCACCTGCCATCTCACATACATAAACATTACTAATTATATTGTACCTGTGTCTTGTATTGTGTGTCGTTTGGTACAGCGACCGTCTGAGACGTCGGGCCTAATATCACGTGACTAAATAACAGTAGTAAGCACTAAATACTGAAGTAATTTTCAGTATTAATTGCTCATTGTCGTTTACTATTTTTACAAGAAAGGTTGATTTGTAATTTACAAACATGGCCAGGTTATCTTGCTTCACACCGAGTCCTTTTCTCGGTCACAACGCATTTGTAGTTCATCTTGATTTCAGGTCTTTTGTTTAAGTCCCGTAACAAACCGTACCGAACACAATATCATCGCAAGTCAAACGGAGATTGATGCGATCATTAAACCAGTTTCTCATTTTGTATTTTAAATATTTTTAATACAGTCTAAATGCCGATCAGTTAATGATAAGAACATAACTATTACAAAAAATAGCTTGTATACAAAGTGGGTATTCAAAGCGGATATCCAACGATTTTACGAGGACGGAAATGTCAGATATAGAGAAATTCAGAAAAGCTGACATAAGAGTGGAATGTATATGTGCTATAAAACAGAAAACTATTTAATTTACTGTTGATGAAATTTCTGGAAACGTTGCCAGCTTATTAAAATAAAGGTTTATTTTGTGTCTAGGCATTTGGTTGGACGTCCAACATCTTTTTGGTGACGTCACAAGTAACCTTATCTCGTCACTAGGCCTTTTTATTATATCGATCATTCTGTTATCATTCGAAGTAGTGATGTTTTCAACATAGGAACTCTCTGGCATTTTTTGTCGTAAAGTGTTACCGATAATAACATCTTATAAATATGTAATAAACATGTATTTAAGATAAGAAAACTTTACAACAATGTTTTGCTACGTCCATGTTTCATTCACTGCTATTTTACACAAAGAGCGGAGTAATACGAACAGCTGAGGAGGACTTTATTCTGGAGCCAATCAAACGGCACCGTGTACGCGGGAAACAAGGTCAAGGTCAACCACACAAAATAACGCGACGTTCATCACAGCCCACTGACCAAAACCAGTATTGTGGCAAAGGATCTCAAGGTACGTCAGTTATGATGGCAACTATTGTGTGGTGATGTCACTTTTATTTATCATCATCACGGATGCGGGGTTGTTTGATAATTTGTCAATACGCCGTTGAATACGGGTATCCAAATATCTTTCTCTGAAAGGATTTCCCTGGAGTAGAGGAGGTACAGTAGGTCAGTGCTAGTTTCTTGTTCACGAAAATGATACCAAAGGTCCACTTTAGTCGCCTCACACCGTTATACAGTAGGATATAGGACATCAGTCACCCCTGTCTGTGTCCAAACATTCTGTAGCTCCAATCATATAGCCATTGCTCGTTTACATTTCTTGTTATCATTGTAGACATATGCCTTCGAAATGTTGCTTAACCGTTTTCGAGCAAGATGTTTTGAAAAACTACTGTTTATCATTAATTATGCATGAAATTACAAACTTCATTTCCTTATTCAGAGAGAACGGCTACTTACAGTAGTCGGACAGGCGTCGTCAATAAAACAGGGAATCAGCAACACTCCATTAAAAAGAGATCGCCTTTCAAATCCCGCTTCCCGTCGCCGCATCTAGCGCCAGAAGATAAGACGGTGGAGACGTTGGTTGTGGTGGATAAGACGATGTACTACAGACACGGAGACGAAAATATCACTACCTACACTCTCACTCTGTTTAATATGGTAAGTCTGTCCTGTATAATAACACACTAACTCTGTCCTGTACAATAACACACTATGTCTGTCCTGTACAATACCACACCAAGTCTGTCCTGTACAAAAACACTCTATGTCTGTCCTGTTCAATACAACGTGAAATAATACACTACGTCTGTCCTGTGCAATAACGCACTAAGTCTGTCCTGTACAATAACACACTAACTCTGTCCTGTACAATAACACACCAAGTATGTCCTATACAATAACACACCATTTCTGTCCTGTACAATAACACACCAAGTCTGTACTGTACAATAACACACTAAGTCTGTCCTGTACAATAACACACTAAGTCTGTCCTGTACAATAACACACTGACTCTGTCCTGTGCAATAACACACTAAGTCTGTCCTGTGCAATAACACACTACGTCTGTCCTGTACAATAACACACCAAGTCTGTCCTGTACAATAACACACTAAGCCTGTCCTGTACAATAACACACTAACTCTGTCCTGTACAATAACGCTCTAAGTTTGTCCTGTGCAATAACACACTAAGTCTGTCCTATGGAATAACATACTACGTCTGTCCTGTACAATAACACACTACGTCTGTCCTGTACTATAACACACCAAGTCTGTCCTGTACAATAACACACTAAGTCTGTCCTGTACAATAACACACTCACTCTGTCCTGTACAATAACGCTCTAAGTTTGTCCTGTGCAATAACACACTAAGTCTGTCCTATGCAATAACATACTACGTCTGTCCTGTACAATAACACACTACGTCTGTCCTGTGCAATAACACACTACGTCTGTCCTGTACAATAACACACCAAGTCTGTCCTGTACAATAACACACTAAGTCTGTCCTGTACAATAACACACTAAGTCTGTCCTGTACAATAACACACTAAGTCTGTCCTGTACAATAACACACTAAGTCTGTCCTGTACAATAACACACTAAGTCTGTCCTGTACAATAACACACTAAGTCTGTCCTGTACAATAACACACTAAGTCTGTCCTGTACAATAACACACCAAGTCTGTCCTGTACAATAACACACTAAGTCTGTCCTGTACAATAACACACCAAGTCTGTCCTGTAAAATAACACACTAAGTCTGTCCTGTGCAATAACACACTAAGTCTGTCCTGTACAATAACACACAAAGTCTGTCCTGTACAATAACACACTAAGTCTGTCCTGTACAATAACACACTAACTCTGTCCTGTACAATAACGCTCTAAGTCTGTCCTGTGCAATAACGCTCTAAGTTTGTCCTGTGCAATAACACACTAAGTCTGTCCTGTACAATAACACACCAACTCTGTCCTATACAATAACACACCAAGTCTGTCCTGTACAATAACGCTCTAAGTTTGTCCTGTGCAATAACACACTAAAAGTCTGTCCTGTGCAATAACACACTACGTCTGTCCTGTACAATAACACACTAACTCTGTCTTGTACAATAACGCTCTAAGTTTGTCCTGTGCAATAACACACTACGTCTGTCCTGTACAATAACACACCAAGTCTGTCCTGTACAATAACACACCAACTCTGTCCTGTACAATAACACACTATGTCTGTCCTGTACAATAACACACCAAGTCTGTCCTGTACAATAACACACGTAGTCTATCCTGTGCAATAACACACGTAGTCTGTCCTGTACAATAACACACCAAGTCTGTCCTGTATAATAACACACAAGGTATGTCCTGTACAATAACACACTTAGTCTATCCTGTGCAATAACACACGTAGTCTGTCCATTACAATAACACACCAAGTCTGTCCTGTACAATAACACACAAAGTCTGTCCTGTACAATAACACACAAAGTCTGTCCTGTACAATAACACACGAAGTCTGTCCTGTACAATAACACACTAAGTCTGTCCTGTACAATAACACACCAAGTCTGTCCTGTATAATAACACACTTAGTCTGTCCTGTTCAATAACACACTAAGTCTGCCCTGTAAAATAACACACTAAGTCTGTTCTGTTCAATAACACTCTAAGTCTGTCCTGTATAATAACACACAAAGTATGTCCTGTACAATAATACACCAGGTCTGTCCTGTACAATAACACACTACGTCTGTCCTGTACAATAACACACTAAGTCTGTCCTGTGCAATAACACACAAAGTATGTCCCGTACAATAACACACTTAGTCTGTCCTGTACAATAACACACTAAGTCTGTCCTGTGCAATAACACACAAAGTATGTCCCGTACAATAACACACTTAGTCTGTCCTGTACAATAACACACTAAGTCTGTCCTGTACAATAACACACCAAGTCTGTCCTGTACAATAACACACGTAGTCTGTCCTGTACAATAACACACTAAGTCCGTCCTATACATCTCTAGATGACCTTTCATCGGATACCTGTAGATTTGTTCTCCAGCATCGAGTTTTAAGGGCGTCACAATTGGGTGAAATGGTTACCAGAACCCCTTATGTAACGTTTGTTCCTAGAACGTCGTGTGTAGAGGAATGGGATCGAGGATTTGTTTTTGATCCGAGTAAATTATCTCCCTCTGACATAATTTAATGGCCGTTTCTCTACCCTGAGCCCATAAGCATTAATACAAAAGTAAATTTACATAACCAGAATACAGTGATTATTTTGAACCGACATACTGATTGAACCTGTGGCGTTTGGATGACCATGAACTTACACATTTAGATAATCTGTACTACTAAACCATACACTAATTGATGTTCTGTGTCTTGATCCCCTTGACCCGACAGAACTAATATCATTTTCGCGACCTTGACCCGACATTACTGAATTTATTTACGCGTTCTAAACCCGACATAACTGAGTATATTTCCGCGACCTTGACCCAACATAACTGGGTTTATTTTAGTATCATTGACCCGACATCACTGGTATATTTTCGCGTCCTTGACCCGACATTACTTGTGTATTGCCGCGACTTGACACGACATAGCTTGTGTATTGCTGCGACGTTGACCCGACATAAGTTGTGTATTGCCGTGACTTTGACTCGAAATAACTGAGTATATTTTCGTGTCCTTGACTCGACATAACTTGTGTATATCCGTGACCTTGACCCGACATTACTTGTGTATTGCCGCGACCTTGACCCGACATAACTGAGTATATTTTCGTGTCCCTGACTCGACATAACTTGTGTATATCCGTGACCTTGACACGACAAAACTGGTGTATATCAGTGACCTTGACCCTACATAGCTTGTGTACTGCCGCGACGCGACCTTGACCCGACATAACTTGTGTATATCCGTGACCATGACCCGACATTACTTGTGTATTGCCGCGACTTTGACCCGACATAACTGAGTATAATTTCGTGTCCTTGACTCGACATAACTTGTGTATATCCGTGACCCTGACACGACAAAACTTGTGTATATCCGTTTGTGTAATACCGCGACCTTTGCCCGACATCACTTGTGTATTACCGCGACCTTGACCCGACTTAACTTGTGTATTACCACGACCTTGACCCGACATACACTATTCATTCATATTGACAACATTTTACAACCATATCATAATATGACCCCATTTAACGAGATATAATGTTTAAGAACCTAGCGCATTGTAGCTACTTGTTTTTTTATGACTCTGACGTCGAGTAGCTGGGCTTGTCCCACTGAATTTAAACCGACATACCATTTCTATATACAGGTAGCTGATTTGTACAAAGACACAAGTCTTGGGAACAAGCTGGATATTGTATTGGTCGGGTTGATTCTTCTAGAAGGAGACGAGGTAAGTTTATGGTTACAAAGGCTCGAAGGAGAGGATACATGGATCTTAATCCCATTTGATTATATTCACAATGTTACATTAACGGGGATATGCACGATGTTTTCGACATTTTGTTATTTGTCTAAGATCAGCACTAATATGATTATGTATTTATTTTTTATAATAAAACGCTTATAAAATCAAAGTCATATGCTTTAGTCTGAAAATATTATTCATTTTTATGTTATTTAATTTTCTGAGATTATTTTGATGTATCTAGACGTAAATGATCGGCAAGAGGTAAACAAGTTTTAAAATCAAAAATGTATTTGTCTTTTTCTCAGACTGGTCTTGAGATTGGTAACCATGCCGACAAGACGCTAAACAGTTTCTGCTCCTGGCAGTCAGTGCTGGTTGGACCAAAGGGGAGACAACACGACCACGCTATTCTTCTCACGGGCATAGATCTGTGCTCCTACAAAAACGCGCCGTGTGACACACTTGGTAACTCACTCACTGTAATATGAATGATACAAATTGTGTCGTGATTTTCGTACAGCGTCATATTAAGTACACGTATGTTTGCTTAGCATACTAATCTAGAATATGAGTTGGAGATAATTTCTCACAATAAGTTGGAAAGTCCAATAAGTGTCGAAGCAGATGTTTGGAAGGTTTACAGTTTTATATAAAACAAAATGTCCTGTTAAAAGTAAAGAGCGTCCCAATATGCACCGTTCTACAGCCACTGAGAATTACTATATTCTCAATATTCTTAAAAAGACAACTATAATTTGCTGGCTTGTTTGGAACAGTTTGAAATTATGTCCAGTGAAGTTCATGAAAATAATTAACAAAACACATATAAAATCCGGGACATCAGTGAATAAACGCCCTGATATAGTCAAGAACTCGGGGTTCGAATCCACACTGTTTTGGAAAAAAAATGTTATAATGAATACTTGTTTTCGTTTATATATTTTTTGCTTTAATATACATACGTCACACCGTATCGAGAACTCTACCTTTATCTATATAGGAAGGGGGATAACTCTAAGTTGTCAGTGTAAACATGCCAATCAGTCAAACATATCTGTACTTGGAAAACTTCATTAATACGCTATTTTTTAATGAAAATCAGCTTTGAAACAAAAAAAAAGACTTTTTTGTTGTGTTCAGGTTTCGCCCCTATAGAAGGAATGTGTAACAGGATAAGAAGTTGTACGATAAATGAAGACACTGGACTCTCCACAGCTTTTACCATCGCTCACGAGATGGGCCACAAGTAAGTCTGTTACATTGTAACTGACCAGCAATGAGGACCCTGTCTACCTTCAGTTACCTAGAGAAACTGACACATTTTTTCAACTCGAAATCTATTTTCTTTGAGTTGAAACGACGTTTGCTGTAAACAGATGATCGTGAAAACGTTTTATTTGCATCAAAATCGAATCTGTATCATTATATACCCGAGAAACATTTTCTATTCACAACAATATGTTGAATTTGCCAGAATTCTATAGTGGCACGTATTAGCTCATCCACAGGTATCCATATTTAATATGATATACTTTCTCGAGAATGACACGAAACCATTTGAAACAAAACTAATACATGATATAGTTCAATAGATTTGTAATACATGGTATATATATGTCATGAAAATATAGTTTATAATTGTCCAATAGATTGTTAGTGACGTCATTTTTTCATTGGTCAATAAGGAGCTTGGTAGTTCGCGCTCAAGCGACTAATAATTTAATTAATGGTCATCAGTTACATTGTTAACACCGATTTGACAATAAGATACTCTTCCACTCACCGTGTGTTGCTTCCTTTGTAGTTTTGGTATGTTCCACGACGGTGAAGGTAATTACTGTACACAGTCAGCCGGTACTATTATGTCTCCGACCCTGATGGGCAAAGATGGTCTGTTCCACTGGTCAATCTGCAGCAAGGCCTACCTCATGCGCTTCCTCAAGTGAGTGGTCAGCTAGTTAGTCTGAGTGGTCAGCTTGTTAGTCTTCAAGAAACATCTCATTAACCAGGAAATTATAAACAGGAGCATAACTTACTTGAGATAATCTGAAGTAGAGAACAAATGCAAGTTAACCTTTCTGATACTAATCTCCACAATCAGTACATTTAAATCGCAAATAGTACTTGTTTTCCAATAGCTACGAAAACTAATATTCATATTAATATAAGTAGAAGTGATTTGCAGAGATTTGAGTGTGCAGACTTTGTGTCCTTCAGTACTCCTCAGTCGGACTGCCTCTCTAACAAACCCAAACACGTGGCCGAGCTGACCTTTCCAGAAAAGCTACCAGGAGAACTCTACAACGCTGATATACAGTGCAAATGGCAGTTCGGAAAACGCGCCAAACTTTGTACCTATGACTTCGGAAAGGTAATCATTCGGACTTGTGTGTAATTAAATGTATAGTTCATATTAATGAATTTACCTCACGATTTACATTGTGCTCTTTTTTTATAATACGAAATATGTTTTTACAAAATCATGTTATATGTATGGAATTACTTATTTAAATAAAACAATCAGGATCAGCCCTTACGTGAAGCTATGTGCTTGTGACTGTCCATGTGATATACAATTTTGGAAAACTTCTTCTCAGAGCAGTTTATTCGTTCGTGACATCTTTTACCTTCAGTTGCTTTCGAGTTAGTTCTATTTTCGCAGTATGCTTAATTTGCAAATTGTACAAAAAATGTCAACAAAATCAACACTATAGATGCAAACTGCTCAAAACCAAAAATCTGTTTTGCGCTAATCTGTACTATAATTTTCACATCACCGCATACTTTGGGAACTGCTCCTCGACTGCTTTGTGTATGTTTTATGGACCAGGCGTCTTCTGTCCGTCCACAGGACATATGTAAGTCCCTATGGTGTTACCGGGGCAAGAAGCGGTGTGAGACGAAGTTCCTTCCGGCTGCAGAGGGCACCTCCTGTGGTTCTGGTATGGTAGGTACGCATAGTATATGTCTTCAACTTCCGGCTTTACTAAACACAAAATAGATGAGCTTCTCTGTGACCTGTAGATGATCGATGCAGAGATGTGATATTCCACTATTATATTTATTTGCTATGCATCCTTCCATTGCAATGCATTTGGAAGGTAAATGTTGTTATGAGACTATAACAACATTTGCTATTTTGACGTCATCAAACTTTATTGTGAAGCGTTTAATTTCATTGTTGTCAACACTTAATTTGCTGTTCAAAAAGCATAACTACTATATCAAAATGTAAATATAAGTAATGACTATTCAGCAAATATTGTTATGGTCCTATAACACACCTTTCTATTGCTGACTAACTTACATTAATCCCTACCGGGCTTTATTAAGTTTGTCATCAATAGCAATGTGTGTTATAGGACCATAACAACATTTGCTTAAACATCCATTGCCTAAGTAATGACACCACTCACAAGTGTAACCCAGTTGCACAAGTGGGCACAGATGCATTTTTATGTTTAATGACCTTTTTCAAAACTTTCTTTGGATTTAAGCTGGTTTATGATATATTTGAAATAAAATATTTAATTTACCAAATTGTCCAACAGCGTTTTTGCGAGAAAGAGCATCAATCGACATAAATTCAGAAATTTTACTAGTTTGAAATTGATGCGAGGACAGAATTAGTCCCCAATAACATTGACAGTATGACATTAATACCCGAACAGTAACCGAATCAAATCATTACGTGAAACAGTTCTGGGAGGTATGCTATGATAACTTTTTTTGACTTGATACATGTAGGTTTATTTAACGGCCTTACAACGAAAATAGTAATATTTTGTTATGCTACTTTAATGTGTCAAAATAGTTGGATACGAAGCCAACAAAATACTCATTAGAAAACCTGTAACGGTGAATGGTGTTTTATCCTTAGCGAAAGGCCTGGACATGGTTGTCCTTGCCCGTCTGCCGAAGGGTCATTCATACATTACCCGTTCTGTTTTATTGAAATACGAAGGCCAGCCTCAATGCACAGACCGTCAGTAACCGTTTACAGTAAAACGCTTCCTATTAAATCGCATTGACTTTCATCCAACACTAGAAAACTTCTAGAAAAATATAACAAATCTTAAATTTCCCTTTAGAAACTATAAATATCTCTGCAGTTCTACATTATCTAAAAGCTGTACCTTCTTTAAGATATAATACACCTTAACGACTTTCGATACTCAAATTGACGTTTGTCCTGTACTTTTGTTCATGTCGTTTCGTATTTTTTTTTCAGGATTGGCCTTAAATAATGTATTATTAATGGACTAATGTATTATTAATGGACTTATGTATTATTAATGGACTAATGTATTATTAATGGACTAATGTAGTATACGATGACTCGAGCAAGTCTATCATCTTTTAACGCATGGACGTGGTTATCATTACCACAGTGGTGTCGACAGGGGGAGTGTGTAAGATTTGGTCAGGACGGTCCGGAACCAATTGACGGCCAATGGTCAGAGTGGGCGGAGTGGTCAGATTGTTCCCGGTCGTGTGGAGGGGGAGTCACCCTCCGAGAGAGAGAATGTAACCAGCCACTGTAAGTGTATCCTCCAATCTGGAACATTTAAACTCTCGTTAAATCTCGTCCACAATCTCCTTTGTCATATCATAGATATTCCCTTCCGCTGGTCAGTTCGGGGGAAATTAGATGCTCTTTTTTAACAGTTTGGAGACTATTTTTAGTAGATTGTAGATAATTTATGGGTAGGTTAGATACAAAATCGGTTACATCCATATTGCATGAAGCCCACTACTTGTTATTACCGTAGATAACAGACTAATTTAATGGAAGATTGGATGGTTATTTTACGTAGATGAAAGTCTATCTTATTTTGCAGAAAACTTCAGAAAAAACAGTCTCATTGTTAGTGTAAACCACTTATACTTATACCAGAAATGAATCCTAATCACACACCTTTATCTCAACAAAAACACCATTCAGTCTGTGTGTGCATGACAACACTGATCAGTGATTGACGTCGGTCACACTCCTTAAACAAATGTTTTCAACGGACAACAAGCGTCAGCAAGCGTCGCCAGACATACTCTTTAACAATACTAAATAAAGGTAGAAACATCAGATGATATGTTATTCATATGACTATAACACAACAATACAACAAAAGTTATGATGATTTAAACATTCACGGTCAGCGGCTTGGCACATGTACGTAGTTAGAAAATATCTCCAATAACATCATAACAATTGATGATAATTACGTGTACTCGATGCTTTGTTTTTAGTCCACAATATGGCGGACGACCTTGCCAAGGAGGTGACAAGGTGTTTAAGATGTGTAAAATGGAGGTGAGTACATGTTAACACATTAAGTAAGTAGTAAGTAAATAATACGTATTGTCAGTATTTTTACCGTAAAGTGATCACTGATATTATAGACAATATTCCAATTAGGACTTATATCTAGAATGATCAGGAGTTCAGGACTTTCGCCAGCATTGTTTTACTTGCCACTTAGAATAACCTGTAATGCCTGCCTGAACCTAAATATACTGATGTCGCGGGTCCTTCTCCCCACGTCAGAGGTTTCCAGTGCCGCTCGTTTAACAGGGTCTTAAAACATATCTATTGATAATATCCATGTTTTCATTATTAATTATTCATAACTCACTACAGTGTAATTGGAACAAGAGTGAAGAAGGTGTTCTAACAGAAATATCAAGACAGTTCACTTTTTAACTATTTTCAGTTTTAGTCCGTAAGAACGTCGACTGAAAATGACGCACTTTGTTACTAGGAAATCTAGTATTTCAAGTTAGATTTTATTAAGTTTCCAGTTGGCATTGTATTGACTATTAATCTCAGGTGATTCATATGTATATTGGTGTTAAAGGTAATGTAAATGTTTCTAAATAAATGATCGCGATACAGAAATGTGTAGTAAATATGTTATGAACGATGTTTCAGGAATGTCCCGAGGGGGACGAGGACTTCTATGCCGTACAATGTACATCTTACGACAAGAAACCTTTCAGAGGATGGTACTTGAAATGGAAGCCTCACAAGAAACTTCAAAATGGTAAGATTGACCGACCAATCGGAGTACATTAAACATGTTTGTATATTGACCATGTACTGCGCATGACCGGCATCTCCCGTCACCACTGCAGGTGCACATTGATTAACAAAAGACCATGGAAATTAACGTGAAGAATTCTGAAAACATTCATATCTTACAACAAATATGATTCTTTTATTAGACCATAAGAGTAAAATGAAATATGTGTATGAGATCGGCTTTCGTGAATGATAGTCAATTCTCAATGTATGTTTGTCGAAATAAGTAGACGCTCTGTCGTCCGGTTCTCGAATTACTTCGCTCTGTTATTCAGGGTGCACTGATTGTGAATCTAATTTGAATATTTTCTAGTAGCGACGCCATATTAATATATCATCATCAACATACGATGACAATAGGCTTACTAATGAGATTGGAATATTTATCATATCACTAGTAAAAGTCCGTTGCTGAATATGACCACGTGACATAGATGCCTAAAACATTCAGTCTTCTAAAAATGTTTGTTGCTATGTACAAACTTAGTTTTAAATCTAACTTAATATTCAGTGTATTTATGTTTGCCTTTCATCGGTAGTATGATGTCACTGAACATAAAACTAGGGTTTTGACAGGTACAAACGTCACAAAATCTGACCAAATTTTACATTTAAGCTTTGTTTTTCGCGTTGTTTTTGCCGAAGCGGTTTAACAGAACTAAACTCAAATGTATCATAGCTTCTAAGTAACATATATTGCAAAATTTCTAATCCTCAAAAGTTTTAAGCTAACTGTTAAGAAGTATCGAAAATATGTATATTTTTTATTGAAAATCAAATCTTTATATATATTCACCACGCGGTGATTTCCGTGAATTAAGTTAGCTTTTGGAATACATCTTTCACTTGGAACTTTATAAATTAGAGATAGGACAATTATAAATCTGAGTTAGGTCAGTGTATCTGTATACATATATTTAACTTGAATTAATTTGGATTCTAGAATTGCATAATAATTGTCCGTGCTCTTTTCCAGTCCGGGAGCCATGTAAGCTGCACTGTATTGCTGAGACGTTCAACTATGTGTTCACGATCACACATACCGCAGTGAACGGAATGAAGTGCCAGGACCATCAGAGCATATGTGTGGAGGGCACGTGTAAGGTAAAAATAAAATCTGGCGAGGAATACTCCTAATATATCAAAGGTCTACATACACTGTCTCTCTCAACGTAACTAAATAGAAATACATGTATGAAGAATTGATAAAGCAGTATTTTATATGCAGATTTTGTCTTGATGAAACGAAGTTAAATATATGCAGACACATGTATTAGTTATGGACAGGTGGTAGTTAAAAATCAATAGTAGTTACACGTACAGACAGGTGGTAGTTATACCTCAATGGTAGTTAAAGGTACAGACAGGTGGTAGTTATAAATCAATGGTAGTTATACGTACAGACCGGTGGTAGTTATAAACCAATGGTAGTGACAGGTACAGACAGGTGGTAGTTATAAATCAGTGGTAGTTACACGTACAGACAGGTGGTAGTTATAAATCAATGGTAGTTATACGTACAGACCGGTGGTAGTTATAAACCAATGGTAGTTACAGGTACAGACAGGTGGTAGTTATAAATCAGTGGTAGTTACACGTACAGACAGGTGGTAGTTATAAATCAATGGTAGTTATACGTACAGACCGGTGGTAGTTATAAACCAATGGTAGTTACAGGTACAGACAGGTGGTAGTTATAAATCAGTGGTAGTTACACGTACAGACAGGTGGTAGTTATAAATCAATGGTAGTTATACGTACAGACCGGTGGTAGTTATAAACCAATGGTAGTTACAGGTACAGACAGGTGGTAGTTATAAATCAATGGTAGTTACACGTACAGACAGGTGGTAGTTATAAATCAATGGTAGTTACAGGTACAGACAGATGGTAGTTATAAATCAATGGTAGCTATACGTTCAGAGAGGTGGTAGTACTAAACCAATGGTAGTGACAGGTACAGACAGGTGGTAGTTATAAATCAATGGTAGTCAGAGGTACAGACAGGTGGTACATTGTAATTATAAATCAATGGTAGTTACATGTACAGACAGGTTGTTGTTACCAATCAATAGTAGTTACATGTACAGACAGGTGTTGGTTATAAATCAGTGGTAGTTACATGTACAGACAGGTGTTGGTTATAAATCAGTGGTAGTTACATGTACAGACAGGTGTTGGTTATAAATCAGTGGTAGTTACATGTACAGACAGGTGGTAGTTATAAATAAATGGGAGATACAGGTACAGACAGGTGGTAGTTATAAATCAATGATAGTTACATGTACACAAACGTGGTAGTTATAAATCAATGGTAGTTACACGTACAGACACGTGGTAGTTATAAATGAATGGTAGTTACACGTACAGACACGTGGTAGTTATAAATGAATGGTAGTTACACGTACAGACACGATGTAGTTATAAATGAATGGTAGTTACACGTACAGACACGTGGTAGTTATAAATCAATGGTAGTTACACGTACAGACAAGTGGTAGTTATAAATCAATGTTAGTTACACGCACAGACACGTGGTAGTTATAAATCAATGGTAGTTACACGTACAGACAAGTGGTAGTTATAAATCAGTGGTAGTTACATGTACAGACAGGTGGTAGTTATGAATCAATGGTAGTTACATGTACAGACAGGTGGTAGTTATGAATGAATGGTAATTACACGTACAGACAGGTGGTAGTTATAAATCAATGGTGGTTACAGGTACAGACAGGTGGTAGTTATGAATCAATGGTAGTTACAGGTAAAGACAGGTGGTAGTTATGAATGAGTGGTAATAACACGTACAGACGGGTGGTAGTTATGAATCAATGGTGGTTACAGGTACAGACAGGTGGTAGTTATGAATCAATGGTAGTTACAGGTACAGACAGGTGGTAGTTATGAATCAATGGTTGTTACAGGTACAGACAGGTGGTAGTTATAAATCAATGGTAGTTACATGTACAGACAGGTGGTAATTATAAATCAATGGTAGTTACAGGTACAGACAGGTGGTAGTTATAAATCAATGGTAGTTACATGTACAGACTGATGGTAGTTATAAATCAATGGTAGTTACAGGTACAGACAGGTGGTAGATATAGATCAATGGTAGTTACATGTACAGACAGGTGGTAGTTATAAATCAATGGTAGTTACAGGTACAGACATGTGGTAATTATAAATCAATGGTAGTTACAGGTACAGACAAGTGGTAGTTATAAATCAATGGTAGTTACAGGTACAGACAGGTGGTAGATATAAATCAATGGTAGTTACATGTACAGACACGTGGTAGTTATAAATCAATGGTAGTTGATGGGGGTGTATAGGTATGGAACGGGGGTAAGGGTAGCATCCTATCTGTTCTGCTTGTTATGGATTATCATGTCCAACGACTCATTTTACTGCAGACCATATTATATTTTACGTAAAAAACGTAGAGTTCAGCAACAAGGGGAAAATGCCATGGTCTAGGACACAATCACACACTGCTGTCCGTGATATACGACTCTACGATCGGTCAATATGCCTTAAAGTTATCCGACCTAGACTAAAGGAGATGAAGATCTGGCGTAATTTGTTTAAGAAAAAATATAACCTAACATAAGTAATGAATGAAAATATTTCTACGCATCTACGATGACAAGGTTGTATGTATGTATATGATGCAATATATATATATATGTGTGTGTTTGCAGCCAATCGGATGTGATTTGATATTGGGGTCCAATTCGTCCAACGATGCGTGTGGCGTCTGCAAGGGAGATAATTCTACCTGCCGGAGAATCAAAGGGGAGTACACGGAACAGCCAAAGCTGAACAGTACGTTGACATCGATACAAAGTACAATTCTAGCTTATTGCCTTCGTTAATACGAGGTTATCAACCTTGGTCAAGGTCAATAAGGCCATTTTCCCTTTTGCTGAAAAAAGAAGCATTAACTGGGTGCAAAATGCAGCATTTGTTTTATTGCTGGGTTTTTTAAATAATTTATTTGCTGTGTTTCGTTAAACTGACTAGGCGAATTTTTAAACAAATCTTCCTCATATGTTTATATGAAATGAAATAAAACATTACAGCACTTTGAATATAAGGCACAGCTGTGTTCAAAACTTGTTTTATGGCAGGACGTCTTATTTTCAGTTCTGTGCCAAACATTTTTCGCATCATATCTTCTTGGCTATTTTACCTGCATCCCTACAACTGTTGTACCTACATATGTATTAACATGATGTATCTTGGGAAACGGAGTGCCGCGTACTAAAAAGGCGGTTTATGAACCACTGCAGTGTGTAAAACATAGCAATGACTCACTGGTCATTTTTGTTTGTGGAACGTTTTACAATAGAATTTCACATACTTTCACCAGAAATGTTAAACTTGTGATTTTTGGACAAATGAAGTGTTGCATACATAAACTGGCTCTGACGCGTCACTTTACACATATATGCAAAGCCATCGGCCTTACGTGTCACTATACACACATACAAAACTATCTGCCTTACGCGTCACTATACACATATACAAAGATATCGGCCTTACGCGTCACTATACACACATACAAAACTATCTACAAAACTATCGGCCTTACGTGTCACTAAACACATATACAAAGCTATC